CATTCCATTCTGCATTGAGGAAACACCGGGTGTAGCAGAATCTTCACCGCTCATGGTTACAGATTCAAAAAGGCTCTTAAAGTGGGCACAAAGTCTTTAAAAAAAGTCTAAAACCAAGGGAGAAAGGAACCCCTTTTTTTGTTAAACACAAGTGTTGTTATAGCACTAACAGGTCATCCCCTAACCTACAGAATCAAAACTAGTTATTGTCGTAGTGCATACAGGTCATCTCGTGACCTACGTAGGCCTATAAACGGTATCCAAAAATTCAAATTCGAATTTGAATTCGAGATTCAATTTAAACAAATCGAATTTGAATGATTCGAAAGGAATAAACAGTCAAATTTGAATACAATTTTTGTACTGATTATTTAATCGGATTGAATTCGAATATATATTGATTTGATTCGATAATAAATATTGTAGTATAAATATATTATATTTTAATTTGACTGTTGTAGTACACCTTTTTAGACACACACAACCCAAAGCGTCATTTGTATTACTTATTACAAAAGACAAATATGATTCATTTACCGAGATACCAAAAGCTTTTCAAAAACTTTTTCATCTTTTTCATTTACCGAGATACCAAAAGCCTTTCAACTTCTTCTCCCCTCTTTCTCCTCCCTCTCCATCTCTTCAATTCTCACATTCAATCAAAAGTTTTCTGCAACACCTTTCCTTTTGGCGCTTAGAATGAAAATGTTTAGAGAGAAAGTAAGGAGAATTGGCTTCAATCAAAGACGAAAGGCGAAATGGCTTATGAAGATTAAACTTCAACTTCTGTCGATTAGGGCTATTATCCAAGATTTCTTGCTCCTCCTTTGTTCTCTCTCCTTTTCTATCTCCTGTTTCTTCTTTCTTCTGGATTATGGGTTTTTTTGTCTATTTTCATTCTTGTCTTAGATTTTTTTAGGCCTTTTTTGCATTATTAACAAGTGATGATTTTATTTTTTGAGTTTTTTTTTTGTTGTTAACATGCGATGGTTGTTTCTCCTTTTTGGTTTTTAGATTTACAATTTAAACATGCAAAATCAGTTATAATCGAATATTCGACATTTTAATCAAAATCGAATCCGATTGGGATTTCTAAATATTCAACGGATTTTGAATCAAATTCGAATCACTTATGATGTAATTGGAATCTAATTTGAACATGGCCTGATTCGATTCAAATTCGCTCCGTTTACAGGCCTAGACCTACGCATCGAACAGAGATGTTGTTAAAGCATGTACAAGTCACTCTCTAACCTTCAAGTTCACCATAAAAACTGCTACCATAGCACACAAAAGGTCTTCACAGACCTACAATTTTTTTATAGGGATCAGTCAACCCCACAAAATGGAAAGAAAGAGGTGTTGATCACCTCACATCCAACCAGTAGACATAGTATAGGTTCTTTTCTAGCGCACGACCAGAAAAAAGATGAGAGAGATTACTTTAGTGCGTGAGAAAACTAGATCTTCGATCACCTGAATAGTAGATGTGGATGACAGATCTGGAAATCTAGTGCGAAGGAAATAGCTCACTCGATCTCTCCTTTCAGATCTAATAGTCACGCTCTGATACCATGTTATGCAGGACAGAAGAAGAGAGGAAGAGAGAAAAGAGAGAGAGAGGAAGAAGAAAGAAGAGAGATTGAGAGCAAAAAGCATTGCTAGTGGCGCCAGCTATTTATGTATTTATGAAGGCTAATGAGCTCATACTTGTTCTTCTTTGTCTATTATTGTTCCTGTTGCTTCTTTTTCAATTTTTTTGCGATTATATTTTTCTCTGCCATTATCTTTTATTGTTCTTCTTCACAAATGAGCTAGAATCTCATTTCTTCTTTTTTTTTCTTAATTTGCTCATAAATAAATTTAAACAGAATGTTGTTTGCCCTATAGGCCATTGTCCATCAAAGTAGCCAATCATCTGGCCAGTTAAAGAACCATGGTGTTGTATGGTCACATATTTAGCCATGAACATGTTTTAGGGTCCATTTGGTTCATATAGTGAATTAGAATTGGAATTGGAATCTGAATCGGAATGGTCCATTCCCATAGTCTGTTTGGTTCAGACAGGAATGAGAATGAGAATTGGAATCAACAGGAATGGGATTTCATTCCCAAGGGAGGGGCAGGGAATGGCCATTCCCTCAAATGGGGGAATGCCATTCTAGTAGGAATGGGAATGGGATTCCGATTCGTCTCAACCAAATAGTTGGGCCCATTCGGATTCCGATTCCAGACCCCTATTCCCATGAACCAAATAGGGTCTTAGATTTGGCAATCAATTGCATTCACTGTTTTTGAACCATCATTGATCCGGACAGTCAAAACTTCAGCCCGAAAACCGTTCAAGCAAGCAGTTCCGTTTCACCCTTAACCCGTTTCTGGGCCAAAACCGTTGACTTGGTCAAAGAACCACTGACTCGGGCAGTTGAACCATCACCCTTAACCCGGACAGTCAAAACTTCAGCCCGAAAACCATCCAAGCAAGCGGTTCCGTTTCACCCTTAACCCGTTTCTAGGTGAAAACCATTGACTTGGTCAAAGAACCACTGACCCGGGCAGTTGAACCATCACCCTTAACCCGGACAGTCAGAACTTCAGCCCGAAAACTGTCCAAGCAACCGGTTCCGTTTCACCCTTAACCCGTTTCTGGGCCAAAACCGTTGACTTGGTCAAAGAACCACTGACCCCAGTTGAACCGTCAACCCGTTTGACCCAGACTGCAGGTACAGCAGAAAGAGAGAAGAACGATCTCAGATCTAAGATCCAAACATAGATCTCCCCTTTGTTGTTCAAATTGGACTAATTAGGACTCCCCTGTTGGGTGATGTCATCAGGCATAGATCTCCCCTTTGTTAACAGTCCGTCAAGAACCATTTGCATGGGACTATCACATGATGCTGATTTTTTTAAAACCCAAATTTGCCCCTTGATGAACCTCTGGCCATGATTAATAGCTCAAAATATTGGAAATAGAAAACCAACATTATTGTTAGCTTATGTCTGCTCGTTTCCTTTTATTCCCCTTACCTTTTTGCCAGAACAAATAACCTAAAACGTACTTGCTTGAATCCATAGGGTTCTTCCAAGAAACATTGTCTTTGTTTTCTTTTCACACTTTAAGATCCTCTGTTCTCCATCTTCATAGCACTGTATAGTCTCATACTCCTCTATTTTCCATGGGTTTTCCTAGACCATGTCTTCTCTCCTGTCTTAATTGGAATTTTCTATCAACCTTGCTTGGATTATAGGAACAGTTCAAAGTATTTTAGTTTTGTTCCTAATACATTTGTCTTTACCCCGTTCTTGGAAACCAACTTGAAGGCGCCATAGATGTCAAATACAAAAAACAAAAAATGGAGAAGAGAAGAATGAGGTGAATGAAAAGGAAGAGACTCGTCAAATGGGTATGACAGATTGTTGTCACTTTACCACCTAGAATCTGACATAGGCAATTCATCGGAGGGAGAACTCCCAGAGATTAATTGAGATATCTCTAGATGCTAAGTGTAGTCCAATTGTTTACATTGAAGAGGATAATCTGAGGCCCCGTTCGTTTTTCGGTAAGTTATTTAGGGTAAGTTTTTTTTGGGAAATACTTACCTACGTAAGTGTATTTATCTATGTTCTTTGATTTCCTAAGTAAAAAAGAAAAAAAAAAGAAAATGACCATTCTAGTCATATTAAATGGGGCATTTTTATCCCATTCAAGTGTTAGAATATTTCCCCCCATGTGGAAAAGTTATTTACCCTCCTAAGAGATGTATCACTTATCCATACCTAGGAAATTAAACTTTCCCTGGCCCCCACATTAGTATGAAAAAAGAAGATGAGATTTTTGGTCAATGGGAACCAAAAAAATAAAAAACGCCCCCTGATTGAAATCGACATTTCTCCTATTGGAGCTTGAAAGGAAGTGCTGGTTTTTTTTTTTTTTTCTAGCTAGCGTCAAATTCAATTAACACAGGTTAATTAAATATAGAAATCCATATTTGAATTTCCAACTTCAAGGGTAGATGAAGAAGTTTTCAAAATGGTGATGACTACCTCAGCATGTGGAATTGGAATTTTCAACCAACAAAAGACATTCCAACCCTCTACCAATTTGATCTGACACCACACATTTCACTACAAGACTGGGACCCGCCATGTATGAGACATGCTGTGTAAGATCATGTTGGTAGGTCATTGAAATGACTTTTGTTAGCAGTGATCCGGACTCCAGTATGTGAGTCATTGTTGATGTTATCTGTTGTTTTACTAGCTAAGGCAAATCCAAAAGCGGATGGCCAGATACAACTCTTATATTTGCCCATTTTAGCTCTGTAATGCAGTTCAATTTGCATAGTATTAGATCTGAACACTTGATCTGCGGTAGTGGTCATGTATACATTACAAATACTGCAAAAATATTTTCTTCGGTTCCTTGGGCTCACTAAAACTGAATCTACTTGTTGCAAGGCCTCCATTTTGAAAATTTGAAGAATTAAAAGGGCAATAAAGACCTTTTGATGATTCCGTTTCACATAAATCTAACATGAGAGGTCCTAATCCAATTTGACAAAAGAGTAGAGGTTTTCAGTATTTACAAGAAAACTTAAGGGAGGTTTAAGTCATTAGCCCTTATTATTATTTTTAGGATTTATTTGAGTTTTACTATCCTAATTTTTCTACTATACCCATGTGTATTCAAAGCAACTTGTTTTTCATGCATGATATTTGGCTTATCACTTATGCAATGTGGAGGGATCTTCTGGCAAATCCAAACTGTCCAAAGGACTGACTGGATTATAATTTCTAATAGCAATCAAAAACAATATTTTAAAAAGCTGACCTAGAACCAAAACCACTTTGATCACCGCTTTTCAGGTCAACAGTTCGACTGTTCAAACAACCCTTTACAAGTTTAAATTTAAATAATAATAATAATAATAATAATAATAATAATAATAATAATAATAATAATAATAGTAATAATAATTAAAAGGATGAATTATAAAGACCCCTGTATTATGAGGTATCTGACAAAGACCCCACCACTACCACCTCCGCTTGAGATCCAACATTCATGTGACCTTTTAGCCGAAGCTGCGAAAACAAAAGATATGAAAATTTCCTGTTAATATCCATACAGAAAGAACATAATACAACATCAAACTTCTCGTAAGCTCCATCCTCGTCTCTTTCTCTACCTGACCGAGCTTTTCTCGGTACCGACATCTCATCAGGGACCTTCCACGTCGGGGCCACCCTAACAACCTTAGCAGGCGGAAAGCTCTTTCGATGATGACGATGATTCAACAGAGAGGATGATGGAGGATTCGGGGGAAGCATCCGAACCGCACCGGCGTCTTCGTCCTCATCATTGTCAACGCTTTCTTCGGTACTTTCTTCCTCCACCTTCCTCCTGATTACTCCCATGCATCAATCTATCTCCCCTTCTTCTCTTGTTCCGACTCGACCGATCCTGATCTCTATCTTTCTTATTTACTTGATCTCATAACCTCGCCGTTTCCTGCAATTCCATTGACCCATCTTCCTCTGTAAAATCAACAAAGTAAAGAAAGCAATGTCAAGATCAGAGGAAAAATGAATAAAATTGGTGAGAAACAGTATTAAAGACGGATCTGAGAAATCCGAACCAGGCGAATCCCTCAGACTGCTGCTCCTTTGTCTCCTTCTCGACAATCCATTCGTCGCCGCTAAGCTTCCTCTCCTTGCTTCTCTGTTTCTATCCATATCTTTCCACTTCTTCTCATGAAATCAAATACAAAAGAATGTAAATCTTAGGCTGGTAGCTCGGAATATCCGGATTATCAATAATTGCAGGATCAGAGATCACCGCGTAAAGCATCGGAGAAGTCGGAAGAAGCGTGTGGGAAGATTTCTCCACTGCGATCGGCCTTGGAGGCGAAGCGATCGTTTCCAAAGTATATTCGCTTTTCGAGCTTCAAGCCATCTTTGACAGATTTCACAAATTGTTGAGCCATTCTGATCAGACTATTGAGAGAGAAACGGAATTAAGACAAAAATTTTCGGAATACCTCTCGACTCTGGTTTCCATTTCGCGTCACCGACGCTATGATTTTTGAATGGATGAGATCGTCATCACCAACAGGCGAGGGAGGACTTCAGAAGTCCGCCACCGCTGCAACATCTATCGCCGCTGTTCGTGTAGGGGAAGTAGACCTGTTCATGGGCCGGGTAGCCCGACGGCCCGGCCCGGCCCACCCGCACCCCGACCGAGCTTTGTCATATAATTAGGCCCGCGGGCCTGACCTCGGGCCTAACATAGTAAGCCCGACTGTTTCGGGCCGGGCTCGGGATTTGTCAAAAAAGCCTGGCCCGAGACCGGCTCGGCCCGACTCAGTATTATATATTTTATAAAATATATAATATTTATTAAAATATATATTTATAATTTAATATATATATATATTATTCTTTGCTTTATAATTTTAATCTCTCTCTCTTTATTCAGCCGCTTCAACATTAATAATAGTAATAGTATAGGCTCAATTTCGGGCCCGGGCCCAGGCTCGGGTTTCGGGCTTTTTATGAGGGCTGGGCTCGGGCCTTAGAAAATTTTATTAATACACAGTAAAAGCCCAGCTCGACCCGACCCATGAACAGATCTAAGGGGAAGATGAACAGTGTTTTTCTTCAATAGTTATTAGAAGGGTAGTATGGGGATTAAAAAATATTGCAGGACGGAAGGCTAACGAAAGGGGGTCTTTGTCTCACGGTCATAGTACAAGGGGGTATTTGTTGCAAAACAAAGTACACGAGTCTTTGTCACAGACCCCATAGTAGGGTTGTTCATAAGAATGCCCAACTCGACCAAACCGACCAACCCGGACCGACCCAACCCGAGTCGGCCGGGTTTTCACCCGTACCGGTTGGTTTCGGGTTGGGCACATACATAAACCGAAATCTCGGGTCGATTTCGATTTTCTTGTGTAAAAACCGAAACCGAACTGAACTAGTATTCTACTAGTTTGGTAGTTCCTACTTCCTAGTTTGAGTAGTTTCCTAATTCCTACTAGTCTTCTACTTTTAGACTTCTACTARAACTAGAACTCTARAAGGCCCATTAGGCAATTACAATTAGAATTCAATTAGGTGTCCTTTTTTAGTTTTTTACCTAGATTAGAATTTAGAAGGTTTCTAATTTTTTATTTTATTGACCACTTTTGTCTTCTCCTAAAATCTTTTATTCTCTAACTTGGTTGGTCCGCCCCCTCAAGCAACTTTGGATTAGTGATTAACGAACAACTTAACAACTTTGGATTAGTGATTAATGAACAACTTAACAACTTTTATGATTAACTTTTCATTTAAATTTTATCATAGGAGATGGCTGAAATGATGCTCAATTTATGATTGTTTTTATTTCTTACTTACACTTGTTTTTACATTAAGAATTTATTGATTTTATTCTTTACCTGAATTAAATTTAGATTTATCTTGGACTCTTGAATATCAAATTATCAACTAATTCAAATTTTATCTGAATTTGTACAGGAGCAAAACCGAAACCGACCCAAACCGCCCCAACCCGACTCAAACCAACCAGGTCGGTTTGGCCTATCAGTGGGTCAGTTTCGGTTCCCACCTTAGCTAACCCGACCAGGTCGGGTCAGTTGGGAAAATCCCAATAAACCGACCCATAAACACCCCTACCCCATAGTACAGGGGGTCCGTAAAAATGACTGAAAACCATTGTCCATGTCAAACAAATCAACGGTTTGACCACCCAGGTCAATGGATCACTGACTGGCAACATTCCAGTTCAGGGGTGAAACAAAACCAGTTGACTGGGTGGTTTCTGGGCTGAATGATCCAACCATCCAGATCAACGACGGTTCAAAAACCATGATCAAAAGCCTTAATGTTTTTCCAGAGCTTAGATTTTCACAATTAAATTAGCATCTAAAAGTAGTTTAGCATTGCCAAGCCAGCAAGGTTTTTCAGCCAAAAAATTTTCCCATAGTAGAGGAACTAGGACAGTGTTTTAGGGAAATGATCTGATTAGCAAACCCACTTGATTAACTTCATCAACACCAAGAATGAGCTTGATTGCAGCAAGAATAAGAAGGAAGATAATCGTTTTGAAATTGTGGATAAATCATAGCAACAACTAAAAAGCAGGGGAGATAGAGACTAAATATAGGTAGAGAATAAAAATGGAGTTACAGTACATGTCAAGGTGTTTATTACTGAATGCACTAAACAGAAATGGCGAATTAGAGTACTCTTCTCGCCTTCAGGCTTTCTTCTGCTTAATCTGAGGTGGAGGGAAGACAAATCGGAAGATCCAACCAGCCAGAATTGCTCCAATAAAAGGGCAAATCCAGTACACATAAAACTGTTCCCATGTATTGTGGCGGTTATTAATATATGCCCAGCCGAAGGCCTGCAGAACAAGTAGCACAAATGCTGTACTTAGCCAAGTTCAAAATATCCACATGAGAAGATCTATATGCTCGTTGCAGAACATTCAAAACAAATGAATAACTCATCAACTTCCTTGTAAGTGTAAATGAGTTTTCTAATGGACATGGTATACAATTTTTGTGTTTTTTTGGTAGAAGTAGAAGGTGTTTGAATAAACATTAATCAAAAGGTGATTCCATCAGCATTCATTTACACTAAAACACTGTACAATGAGATGCACCCAAAAAAATAAAAAAGAACAGCAAAAGCTTCAAAACTTTTCTTTTTATGAAGACAAAAAAAAAAAAAACAGCTGACTTGTGTGGTATTCTTTTGAACAGCCAGCCAAATGCACAAGTACGCAAGCCTTCCCAAGAAAATGACCTACAGCTGAGTGGAGATGGCAATGGAGAAATATGAGTGGCCATCTTCAGTGAGGTGAAGAAAGGGAATGCATTTGGTGTTCCAGATATATCCCCCCTCTAACGAAGCTGTCAGCTGTACAGCATTCATCTAATGCTACTATAAAGACCAAGAAAAGCACTTTTGAAGGGAGAATTGTAAACCAAATCTTGATGCAGAGAAAGAGGCCAGGGAATGTTGAGTTAAGCTTCCTTGAGAAAGATTGAGCTGAAAAGAACCGGTGTGGTCCCAGGACCACATTGCATTCTGCTTAACCCAAAGAATGTTTCTTGCTTTGATTTATTTTTTGTAGTAACTCAGACATGAGTTCAATTTCTTAATCATTCATGTTTCATTTTAGTAGTGTTCCAAAACATTTCATTAATTATGAAGCTTACGGCATTCAGGCACAAGGACATCCCTATTCTTTTTTGATCAGCAAGGACATCCCTATTCTTGGCCACTATAAGGAGTGAGAGAAATAATTCCAAAAAGGACAAATACACCATGGATCCCCCAAAACCTTGCCTGTGTTCCCTCACAGGTTTTGTATCTGATAACATTGTTTGGTTCAATGGTAAAATCTCAAATGACAAGCATAAGAATGCACATTTGATTCTCGCAGCAGCTAATTGTGCAAAATATGCCACAGGCAGGTCCATAACCAGTCCACCCGTCCCAAGACATTAACTAGTGAAGACCAACATTGGGTATTTTTCTCCCTTATTTCTTCTCTAAATATTTTGTTTCTGAATTCCAAATACCGAACTTGTAGTTTTTTTACTTACATGGTATCAGAGCACAACTAGTGTTCTACTATGTCAGGTAAAGTGAGGTTAAATTATATCACACCCCCTTATTGGTTCAAGGCAAATAGAGACTGAGAAGATATGGTGAAAGTGTAGAAAGTTCAGATAGTAAGATTTGAATAGTTATCAAGACATCTATGCAATACCGGGTGACAGTGGAGAGCCTAGGTGACATCTAGGCCATAAGAATTTTAACAAAGAACTAAATTTAGCAATTTACCTAGTTTTTTATACCATGCAGCATGAATATTAATTGAAAAATTAGAAATTCCCTTTATTAAGAACATTAAATTTCCTCTAAAAACAAGGCAAATAATCAAATCTAAAAATAAAAAATATTTTAAATATTAATTTCAATATTTTCAAAAACAATACTAATATAATAAATATTTAATTGAGCACTTTCATATCAATTAGCAACTAAAGAAGGCTATAATTTTATATACTAAAAATTGTAGAAAGTAAAAGAGAAAAAGAATCCTTTTTATACTTCTATTCTATTATTTCTTTCTTTTTCTCTTCTCAAAACCTTTTAATATTTTAAATTTCAATAGTACAACTTGAAAACAAGGTATAACTGATTATTTGGTTGATCTATAAGATTCATTCCCACTTTCTGTGAGTTTAAGTTTTGCTTGAACTTACTCTATTCTTTAATTTAAACTCTGAAAGTCTACAACTTCTTAGCATATTATTTTCTCTATTAACTTCAGTTTCTTGGCTTCATTTGATAGTTTAAAACTAGATAACAATCTAAAAGGATCTATCTATGCTTCTTTCATCATTTCATAAAATATCATTGTATATTTTCACATATTTCACAATGTTTCAACAATGCCAAGAATTTTTAAAATATTTTTATAAGATATTTTCAATATTTCTGACATGTTTGCTATATTTGGATGGCCGATATTTCCACCAACATCAACATTTTAAACCATGAGTACTACAAGGACTACAGATTGCGAAATCTTTGAACCTGAAAATAATGGTGGAAAGGAATTCAAATATTGTAGTGGGCTGGATAAAAAATACTAAGCTAGGAACATGGCAATCTATGACTCTTTATGAAAGAGATTTATGCACTTGAAAGGCAGCTGGATGCAAGGCTTGTCTGGGCTGTTACATCAGCATATGGCCTAGCTGATTCCATGGCCAAACAAGGGGTTGACAGATGACAATTGTACTAGGGAAATCTAATGGAAAATGTAATATAAACTGAATGTGGGAGAGGTGGTTGCAGCCCAGCCTCTTAGAGCATTGTGGACACACTTGTCATTTTATTCGAGAGAGAGCTACTTTTTTGTTTGCCTTTTGTCAAGTCAATATTACAGCCAGCTGATGTTATGGTCATAGTTGTCAAGGCATAGCCTAGGTGACTAGTCACGTTTTGTTGGGCTCTTCACCTAAATGCCATGATTTACAGCAATAAGATGGCCCATCCAGGCAACTAAGCACCTGCCTAGGGCCCTAGGCAACAAAAATCACAAGGCAGATGCCTTTTCATCATTACTATGGCTACATCTTACTCAAATGTGTGCCAACACATTCTATTATACAATATATATCATCTATACTTTGTTTTAAAGTTTTACCATTGACATTTAAAAGATCACATGGTTTTTTAGAAGAGAAAGAAAAAAGTTAAGGATAAACGGGATCCTCTCTTTATTTCTCCATTCTCTCTCTATTACATTAAATAAAATAACGGCAACACCCTTGTTCTTTTCTCTTTATTTATTTTAAATTTTTATCATATAAAGTTATAATCTTTTTTAGCTGCTAAGTTGATATGAAATCACTCTAATAAATACTTATTATATTAGTATTATGTTTTAAAAATATTGAAATTAATATATTTAAACTACTATTGCCTTTTAGATGTGATGATTTGCCATGTTTTGAGAGGAAATTTGATGTTTGTAATAAAGAAAAATGTTATTTTCAAATTAATGCAATGCTGATTTATATATAAATTAGAGAACTAACCAAAATTTAGTTTTTTAATTTATAAAATTCATATCTGCTAGGCTATGCCTATGCACTCACCTAGGCAACTGGGCATCCCACTGTTAACCAGAACGGCCTAGACGCTCATGGATATGGAAAAAGGAGTGTAATTAAATGCAAGTTTTAAGAATAATCTTATTAAGCCAAAAATTATTAATATCTATGTTAACAGATTTTGGGTTGTTTATGCCTTTCTAATTGGGTTATTTATGTCTTTATGTGTTAGGATGGTCCAATGTTTTGACGGAGGAATAACATGAGCCATTCCACTACCCAGAGGCATGATTCATAGTTAAGAGCATAAGAGACATAAGCCTCCTAAGCACAAGGTGTAAACCTCCTCAAGAGGAGTAGTTCTTTCTTTCCCCAATTTTTGAGCCTTGTGAGGAATGATGCATGCACTGGAGATAAGGTTTTGTTCTGGGAAGACCTTTGGATTGGTAATTCCACTCTTACGGACCTCTTTCCCTCTTTGTACTCTATTTCCCTGTTTAAAAATGAACCCATCCAAAGATTCGCCTCGTTTTCCTCTTTGACAGGTATTAGTTGGGACTTGGGTTTCAGAAAAGATCTGAGGGATTTTGAGTGTGATCAGGTGGCTTCACTACTAAAAGTTCTTGATTCATTTCTATTGGACCCTTCATCACCTGAAACTAGGGTGTGGAATGCTCACCCTAAAGGTTTCTTCACTTGTGCTTCTTTCTTCTCTTCCTTGTGCTTAGTGGCTTCCTCTCAACCCATTTCCTTCCAAAGATTTGTGGTCCAAACCTATTCCTCCCAAGGTTAGTGCTCTTTGCTGGGAAGACTTTTTTTTTTCAGAAAAGGTAAGGTAATTTTATTCAGAACAAGAAATCGTACAGACAGAGATCGGGCCAAGGAAAAACAGCCTGAGAACAACACAAATTACAAGCTCCAACAGGACTGAGACCGAAATAAAAGAGGCAAGTTCAGGTGCCTGAACTCCTCAGAAACAGACACCTAAGAGATCAGCTTGCCCACTGCTCTCTGTACAACGTGTTCAGGACTTTTAACTCTATTACAGAAGATTCTGTTGTTTCTTTCAGTCTAAATGGACCACAAAACTGCTGCAGGAATGGTCCTCCACACTAATTTTCCTCTCTTACTTAGGCCTTTTACTTTCCAGCAACACAGTAGCTCTTTGACCAACCTAGGCATAACCCAGCTGATGTCCATGGATTTCAGAAAGTGCTCCCACACCTGAGAGGAGATCGAACAGTGAAGACACAAATGATCTGTAGATTCTGGGAAAGAACTACAAAGACCACAAGATAGATCCAATATTTGAATGCCACACCTCTCAAGATTAGATCTGGAAAGGCATTTGTCAAGGACCATTGTCCACACCAGAAAGTTGGATCTAGATGGACTTGTAGGATTCCAGATCTGAGTAGCAGGGAAGTCTGTGGGACCCGAGCTGCATAATTTGGAAGCTAGAGATTTGACAGAAAAACAGCCATCAGGGTTCCCTTTCCAGCACCAATTATCTTCCAAGCCAAGGTCTAACTTCTGCTTTTGAAGGAGATCCATCAGCTCCAAGACCTCTTCCAGCTCCCAGTCAAATAAATTCCTCCTAAAAAGGGGGTTCCAAATAAAAGAATCTCCTGAAGAACAATAAACCTCAGCCACTGAGGAATCTTGATTAGAAGCACAATGAAATAGGAGAGGAAAGGAATCAGCCAATGGGCCATCCAAACACCAAGGGTCCTTCCAAAATTTAGGTCTATCCCCTTTCCCAATCTTGACTGAAATTCCTTCCAAGAAAGTAAAAAAATTCTTCATGATACCTTTCCAAAGGGAGTTACCCCAACTTGGAGGAGGATCCCTAGATCTCCAGTTACTCCACTCCACCCCATATTTTCCAGCTATAGGAGATCTCCACCAAGCATTCCTTTCAGAAGAAAACCTCCAAATCCATTTACTTAGAAGGGCTGAATTAAAACTCTTTAAATTCCTTATTCCTAAACCACCTTCTGCCTTGAGACGACACACTTGGTCCCACTTGACTAAGTGGACTTTGTTTTCCTCTTCCCAACCCCTCCAAAGAAAGTTTCTCTGAAGCTGCTCCAATCTTTTTGCTACTTTGTTTGGGATAGGGAAAAGAGACAGGAAATAAGTGGGCCGATTGGAGAGGGTACTTTTTATCAGAGTAATCCTGCCCCCCAAAAGAGACGTATCTTGCCTTCCAGGAAGCTAATTTTCTCTCCATTCTTTCAATGACTGGGTCCCACACGGAGGAAGAAGACCAATTTGCCCCCAAGGGCAGTCCCAAATATTTCACAGGGAGGAAATCAATCTGACAAGCCAGCACCTCAGCACAATCTTCTAAATTGTCAACTTGCCCTACTGGAATGATTTGACTTTTATTCAAATTAACTTTGAGCCCAGAAACTACCTCAAACCAAGTTAAGATCCTAAGGGCCAAATCCAACTGAGAAGGGGAGGCATCAACAAAGCATAATGTATCGTCTGCAAACTGAAGGGTATTGACCTTTTCCCCCTCGGGGGATATTGCAAAGCCTTCCCAACAACCAGAGTCAGCTGCCTTCTTACAAAGAGGACAAGTATTTCCA